ATATGGATTATACTTGTTTTTTTTTTTTTTTTTTTTTTTTTTTTTTTTTTTTAATTTTAGCTACTACTATTAGCGAAACTCCTTCTGAATTTAGTGACTTTTTATTTTTATTTAATTTTTTTTATTTATTTATTTATTTATTTATTTTTTTCAGGAGAGTTGGCATCCATGGATATGCTGCTGTTATCAATAATACATACACAGTTTTTCTCGGTGTCAATAGGCAACTTGATGGATTTTTATGAGATCCATCTGCATTTTTTTTTTTTTTTTTTTTTTTTTTTTTTTTTTTTTTTATAATTGCAACACTGGAAGTTTCCGTTTTTGTTTAGTCTAACTGTTGATCGATGGCGCCATTGCTGAGTAAGCGATAATTATTATGCTTACAATAATTAAAAATTGGCGGCATAACACTTTCAGTTTATTGATATTGCTTTGCGTTTGCAGGTTTGTTCTTGCTTTTCGTGAAGTTCCCTTTATACATACATTCTGGTGTAAGTTAAAGGATCTGAAACGGATTAGTGATGCTTTCCACTGTATATTTTTCGATTCTTTTGGTCATGGAAGAAGGTGATTAATTCATTTGGTTCTTCTTATTTTTTATTATTTAACTGCCCTTTTATAGAAATAAGACAAATAATTCTGAAACGTAAACAAAATTTCGTTTTTCCCTCCCAAACTGCTGTGGTATATCCCTCCCATTTGGGACAGGTTGGTTCCGAAGTTATTAATTTTACTTATAAGCGATATGTATTACTTCTAGTGAAGGCCTCACAAATGTTTCAGGGGTATCTAATTTTTATGTAACACACTTAAGATTTAAAACTTAGTATCTTATTGACAAATTAAGATGTGTTAGCATTGTTAGTGAGCAAAAAGGTTTTAAAAGTAGCTTACTCTTGAGCCCAATACATTTGTATTAAAAAAAAAAGTTATAATCTGCTTTGATTTTATGATCTTAGCTAATAAAACAAATAGAAGTATTTGTATTTCTATCGTAGTTATTAGATAAATTTACTTTAAATGTTATCCAAAAATGTTTTAAATTAGATTTGTTTTCCCAGAAATACTGAGTAATTAAATTGATCTTTTTTTAATGGTACAATACTTAAAGAAACGTTTCTACAATAGATGGCGCCACATTAAACTGTTACGATGGCAGTTCTAGTTTCTTTTTCAAAATCTTCCCCAATTTCCATTTTCTAAAAGTTTTAACAATTTTTTTAAGAATCAAATTTATTTCGAAATGTATTACATTACAAATTTTTGAAGAAAATAAGCTGCCATTATATAATATCCCATTACATTATGAAGTGTGACATTTATTAATTTCCAGTTTTCGGAATTAATTTACTAGGTCAAAAAATTTGTTTATTCCTCAGACACTGCTATGCTTATTCAAAAATGTCTCTTTCTCCTCCGCCTTTTTTAAGGAAAATGGCATAAAATAGTTCTTACATGATTTTAAAGTAATTGCCGAAATTGAGTTTACAGTCTCATTATCCGTAAATGTACCTACGCACTTTACAAATTTCGGCTTTTCAAGATTGATATTAGGGAAGCGTGCGAACGTGGGGCGATTTATTTATTTTTATTTTTTTTTTAACTCATTCATTTAATTTTGTGATAAAAATTTCAGTACATAGATTTTCAAATTTTATCCCTTTCACAGAGATGATCGTATGCTCTGTAATAATTAGAACCCTTTCTGAAACTTTATTTTCTTTATTTCTGAAACTTTATTTTCTATTCGGGATTTATTGCCGAGAATTTTGCTTATTTCTGTTTCATTTATTTATTTATTGCTGTATGATTGCCGAAGTATTACGTAGAAGTGTTTCAGCTGGTTTTTATTATATCGTGCAATTTTTTTTCCCTCTGTAATTCCTAGGAATGTTTGTGGCTATAAAAAATTCAATATTTTGGTTAATGTGATTATATCGTAAGTTTGGAGATTTGCTCTGAATATTAAGTACAGTGAAAATCTTTTAACAAGAAACTGAGGGGACTGAAATATTTTTTCGTGTTAAAGAATATTGCAAAAAAATATATATTAAACACAATTAAATTTATTAGAGTACATTTATTTACATATATATGTACATATGCATATATTCAATAAAAATCAATGAAACAAAATCATCTACAAGAACTTAATTTAATATAAAATTTTCAAGTTTTTTGAAAAACAAAACATTTATTGAGTTTTTAGAAAATAATCTGATATTTTTCTTTGTATTGTCTTTTTTTAGCATCAAATTGTCAACACATTGTTCGATGTCGTCCATTTTGCCATTCATTTCACCACTGGAATGTGCGTCTAAATAACTGCGCATATTTTTCATGATGTTCTTCATTTCGGATGACGTGGGAACAGAAGCTGCATCATTCATTTCATATTCGTCGTCGGAATATGCATCAATAATATTTTTTTAGCTTTGAACAAACACCAAACTGTCTTTGTCTGCCGTAATTGGGGCTGTATACATATTATCATCATCTACTGCAGCGAATTCTTCCGGTGATATAGTAGGACTGTTCAATAATACGGAAACTTTCTGAAACATTTCATCAAGTGTCGGCTCAGTTTCAATATCGTCCATTTCCTTTGGCGCGAACCAAACTCACTGATTTTTGCACTCACTGCGATGTACTACCGAATTTCAAAGCCAACTGATGAGAGATGAGATGTTTTCGTATGGCGTTTGTAAAGGTGGAGGGTGAAAGTAGCTTAGATAAACAAAATTGGCTAGTGTCACAGGCTATTCCGAGGGTATTTCAAAACCAAGTTATGCGTTATGCGCCACGTTATGTGCCACGTTAGCCTCCTGTCTACGAAACATGCGAAACCACCTCTCTTTCATTTCCTACCCCTCTTAAATCGCGCTTGCGAGGCTAGTGTTTTCCGTATATTGTTCATTCCCAAAAGGGGAATCTCTTCGTGCGAAGCGATTTTTATTTCGTGTTAAAAGGAAAAAAAAAAAAAAAAAAAAAAAAAAATGCATGAAAATACATAGCAGTTTGTCGGGACCATTGTGTTATTTCGTGTTAACCGATATTTCGTCTTAAGCGTTTTCGCGTTAAACGTATTTCACTGTATTTCTATCTGAAGTTTTACTGTGCGCTCTTATTATTTTTTTTTTATCTGATATGATCTTGGATTGTGTATGATCTGCTGCCGTGTTCTGACTTCCTTCACCTTTATTTTTTTGCTTCCTTTCTTAGTTTAAAATTAGTTTCCAAATTAAGCTTGTTATCAAACTGGATCTCCTTTTTTTCTTTGGCTTTGACGGCGTTTTCAACTAGCTTAGGCACGTTGAAAGAATTTTCGAAGCGCTACACTCCTGACCAGAAGTTTTTTTTAGTTTCATTTTTTTTCATTGATAAGAAACAAATGTTCAGGAGTGCTCAGTTACTGGAACGAACGAACCATCCTGTTACTTATATTTTTTTTATCATTTAGAGTAGATTAGTATTTTAAACGCGTCAGTAAACACACGACATATTTACAACACAAAATTAGGGCATTATTATTAAGTAATACGTATCTTCGACTTCATTAATATTTGATGCATTGATCATTGCACTTTTCAATGCTAGGTCTTTTTAGCGCTTCTGTTTCATCTTCTCATGCATACTTTGGTCCATAATTATTTTTTTATTAAATATAGTCTGGGCCCACTTTTGGTTAGCCCACCTTTTTTTCTTAAAAAAATTCGCATCAAATACTATGACTTTATATTTCTCTCAAATAAAGATGTCCCTTTTTTTGCTTCACACCTAGGCCAGTATTGACAGAAATTTTTCAACAAAAGTAGCAAAAGAAATCTTAAAAAGTTGGGGGAAAAAAAATCGCAAATGACGTCATAGATCACGTGATTCTTTGTTACGTCATAGTAAGGCATGCTCACATGACCTCTGACGTCATCACAAATTTACTGTGCATTGGTTGTTACGTTACAGACTGTATTCGATTCTTAATCTTTTTAATTAGATATCTTAGCTTTACCAAAATTTTAAAACTATATAGCTCATTTTTAATTATTTAAATGTCCATTTCCTTTTTCATTAATTCTCATTTAATTTAGGTCTCTATTTGTAAATTAATTTTCGCATATCAATTCTTAAGAGATTCCTTACGTTTAGACTGTTAGCGTTTTTGTACTAAATTATTTGAATTGGCAGTTAATTTTTTAAATTCATTGTTGTTTTTTGCTTAATTGTGAACATTTTAATTGAAGAGTGCTTTTCAGTGAGATTTCCGTTCTGCGTGGTGGATTCATTTCAGCTTCTGATTAAGAAAGTCTTGTTCTTCCACTGTTTGTGTTGTTTTTTTAAAAAAAAATGCCGTTGCTTTGATTTCCAAGTCATATCCATTTAAGCAATGGCAATATTTATAATCGGGAGAATGAATTTCATTTCTTTCTCTGTTTGGGTACCCAATATATAGTGCACAAGCTCCAAGTTCTTTTGTTCAATTCGTTATCATCATAGAACTTGTGGAACCTTTAGGTTATACTGGTGTTCAGCATAGGGGGGACTGAAAAACAAAGCACACGGGTTCATGGAGGGGAAGGTGAGAGGTCCGAAGCAGATTCTTTTTCTTTCTTTCTCGCTTTTACCCCTACCCTAGTCCCTTTTTGTTATACCGGCGTCAGACTGTTCAGCCTTGAAAAGAAAAGCCCACGTGTAAGCAAGATTGCCATATGACAACTTCTATTTAAGCCTAAATAAACTGGTTTTTTTTATAATATAAATTATTTTTAAATGATACATTAGTTTAATATAAAAGCATTTTACGATATATTAAAAAAAATCTTTGAAATCGCAAAAAGTAGCATAAGAAAATAATAGATGTCTAAAAAATTTCGCAAATATTAAATTTTAGTAGCAAAAGTTTGTCAAAAGTCGCAAATTTGCGAAATATCGCACGATCTAGCAACACTAATCTAAACTAGATTTTCGTCCTGCGGGCAGAAGGACTTATCGGATGCAAAACAAGACTTTTCCGTGTACTCTTTTGTGTGTTTTGTCTGTCGGCTTTTCGAGATGGTTTGGAAATTAAGTAGATTATCGTACCTTGGCAGTAAACGATGTATGTCTACGGTTACGAATGATAGTGTAAGGCAAATGAAGAATGATATGTTTAATAAAGAAAAACTGAGGCAACAGTCTTTAATCACTCGAATTGAGAAAATAGAGGTTAAGTATGATGGTGTACCTTCAGCAAGCTCTTTAATGATGAATCGAAATCTATCCACGCCTTACAACTGTGCAATGCATATCCACGAAGTGCTGTGCCAGCGCTGTGTTCTTGCTGAAGTAAATGGTCACTTGTGGGACATGCACAGGCCTTTAACTGAAAACTGCGAACTTCGTTTATTGAACTTTCATACAGCTCCATCTGTGCTAAATAAGGTCTTTTGGAGAAGTTGCAGCTTTTTATTGGGCTTGGTTATTGAAAGAGCATTTAAAGAAGAATATTTTATCGATCTCCATAGTTGGCCAAAACCTAATGTTCAAAGTGGAAGTTACGTGTATGATGCTGACATTGGAATACCCAATTGGAAACCTACCACGGAAGAACTGAAAACATTTTCAGCTATGTTGTGGAAGCTAAGCGCGGAAGATCATCATTTTGAAAGGTTAGATGTTTCTCAAGAATTGGCAGAAGAAATGTTCAAACATAATCGTTTTAAACGACAGCAAATTCCGCAACTAGCAGTAGATGGAAACGTAACACTTTATCGCGTAAAGGATCACATTGACATCAGCTTTGGTCCGATGATTGGAAGTACAAAATTTGTTGGTACTACGCAAGTTACAGCAGTTCATCAACTGGATAATGATTGTGGGTATAGGTTTCAGGCTTTGTCAATTCCCAAGCAATTAACACTTAATAGTTTTGCATTTAGTGTACTTGCAGATCGAGCAAAGAAGTTGAACACCACTGGATTAAAATCACATGATGTTAGTAATTCCTCTCTAGAAAGTGATTCACTGCAAGAGAGTGATTTATCTCCAGAGAGTAATTCACCCCAAGAAAGAGCCTTATAAATAAGCCTGTTGTATGTTTTAAATTTTTAAAGAAATTAATTATATTAAAAATATTATAAATTGCTCCATCTTGTTTCTGTGTAAGATAATAATGATGACATTATTCAGTGCTTCCTCAGAGTAGCCACAACATAAGCTTTCAGTGCATTCGAAATTGCACATTAGAGACTGGGTGATTAGGTTTCCCAGTTTTGCCAACCAAGTATGGTATCGTTTTATCAAGAATGTATCAGTTCTTTTTTATATTTGCTGCGATATATTTTTAAAAATTCATTGTACATTCTGCTTATCTGTACTTCTCACTTTAAAATTCTATAGTATCTTTGGCTGTAAAATGTTAAATATTGGCATATGTTATTTTTTTTTTTTTTTTTTTTTTTTTTATAAAATTTTGATACTTGTCTTCTATAGTGTTGTTTGCATAATTTGGGGCGATTTTTTTGCCAAATGTTATAAATGTGTATGAAAATGATGACTGTAGTAAATGGTAATTCATTCAATATCTACACAATAGAAGCTATTTAATCTGTTTATCTCTTTATATTATACATAGGAGGCATTTAATATAAATTTACACTGATCTTTGGAATATGGTAACAGGTAGTTTGGCGACATTTTGGAGGCGATAAAGGTTACTACCTAGACTTTGTAATATGTGAGAGTCTCAGTTCCGATTACGCATTATTTTGGTGAGGAAATAGAGATCATGAGATATGTCATGTGACATTAATGCAATTACAGTTCTTTAATCGGAAAAGGGGGTAAAATTTGGAATATCTGTATAATATTTTTGTATTAAGCTTCATTGTGTGTTGTGTGAAATAGGTGTTGATTAATTTTCGGATTGCATGGTGCTATGTAAAGTGAATTCTAAATTTTTAATGCGTTTATCTGATAATAATAATAAGTTGAGATTTGTTGAAAGGAAGATATAAGATAAGTTTGAATGGCGTGTAAGAATCGGGTGAAAATGGATATTTTGTGAAACGGAGTGTAAGGAAGGTACGTGGTTTGCTGAACGTAGTTTGAGTATGGGTGAAATTTTTTATTAATTTCTTATTACCGGGTGAATAGACTGCCAGTTGACTACTGATTCGGATTTAGAAATTAGCAGTAGTACTGCAGCCGATTGGAACTCTTCTGTAGGGAAGTTGCGTTCCACGTAATGAAGATTCTGAAGAAGATTAGGTAATTAGTATTTTTTAATCATTTGAGGATATTATTTTTATGCATTGTTCTAAATGTAAGGAGTAATAAATTAATAGGTATTATGGAAAATTGTTATTAGCAATGATTATTTAAAGTAATTAGGATTGTAATCTAATTTTTATTAATTTAATGTATGTGCTTATTTATATTTTAAGTAGTGTTTTTTAATTTAATTATATTTTTATTTAATGATCGTGATTTTGTGAGCTATATTTTTATAGTATTTTGGAATACGTTGAGTATTTTCATGTCATTTTCGTGAAATTTTTCTAATTTATGAGAAAAAGCAGTGTATATGGATATAGTGAAGAGTGTGCGCAATACCATTTTTGTGCAATTCTGGGATGTTTTTTTTTAAGTAAAAATAAGTCGACGTGTACATGGTTTAGTGATATTTTAATTAAATGATAGTTATTTGTGATTTTTTTTATGTTGTGGCAATTTGGTATACATTTCAGTTGAAGTAAACGTGCATGGAAATAATTTAAATATTTGACACTAAGTATTGTAACCATTTTTAATGTTTGCATAGAATTCGTTTGTGACTTATAATATATAGATAATTAAGGTAAAAGTTTTTGGATATTTTATTATTTTATACGTGAAATGTTCTCCTTGGAAGTATATACTTTTTTCGCGATCAGGTAATTTCATATATGTTCTTTTTACCGATTTAAAGATCAGACAATTTTATGCATCTCGTGAATTTTTTACTTTATGAAAAAAGCAGTGAATATATAAGAAGAGTTGCGCAATGCCATTTTTTTTTTTGTGATTCTTTTTTTAAGTAAAAATAAGTCAACGTGTACTGTTTAGTGATATTTTAATTAATGTAATTTTTTGGAATTTATGTTTGTAGCAATTGGTATATATGTTTCAGTTGAAGTAAACTTATGAAATAATTTAAATATTGACACTATTATTGTAACTATTTTAATGTTGCGGTAAAATTTGTTGGTGCGTTTATATAATAGATAAGTTATCTTTGGATATGGTAACTTGGCGATTTTTTTGCGAATTGGGACCACTGTGCTACAGCAACCCTTATTTTTTTTTCGCCGCCATTTTGTCTCACGAAGTAAACACTTTCTTTTCTTTTTTTACTCAACACTTTTTCCACAATCTCTATCCGATTACGCTTATGCTAAAATTTTAGGAACAAAACTGCTTAATCATGACAATATTAACTGCAAAATTGGGAAAATGCAGAATCGCAAATCCGCCGCGTTTTTCAAAAATCTCATACAAACCATTACACGTCAACTTATTTTTACTTAAAAAACATCCCGAATTGCACAAAATGGCATTGCCACACTCTTGACTTTATCCATGTACACTGCTATTTTCTCATAAATTAAAAACACGAAAATGCACGAACTTTGTGAATCGTTCATCGTAAAGCACATATAAATTACCTGATCGCGAAAAAGATATACCCTATCCAGATGAAATTCCACGTATAATAAAATAAAATATCCAAACTTTTACCTCTAAATTATCTTAAACGTACCAACGATTATAACAAAACATTAAAAATGGTTAAATACTTAGTGTCATATTTAATTATTTTCATGCACTTTACTTCCACTGAAAGTATACCAATGCAAACAAAATTCAAATACTATCATTTAATTAAAATAATAAACAAACACGTAATTTTTTTACTTAAAAAAACATCGAATGCACAAAAATGGCATTGGCACCCTTCACTATATCCATGTACTGCTTTTCTCAAAATTAGAAAATTTCATGAAAATGCATGAAAATTTTTTGAATCTTTAAATTCGGTAAAAAGGACATATTGAAATTACCTGATCGCGAAAAAGTATATACCCTTTCCAAGAATGGACATTTGCACGTATAAAATATCCAAAAACTTTTACCTCTAAATTATCTATTATGAACAAACATCACCAACGAATTTATAACAAAACATTAAAAATGATTACAAATACTTAGTGTCAAATACTTAAATTCTTTCCATGCACATTTACTTCTACTCAAATGTATTCCAAAATACCACAACGTATAATCTAAAATCACGATCATTAAATTAAAATATAATTAAATTAAAAAACACTACTTAAAATATAAATAAGCACATACATTAAATTAATAAAAATTAGCTTACAATTCTAATTAACTTTAACTAAATCATTGCTAATAACAATTTTCCAATAATACCATATTAATTTATTTACTCCTTACATTTAGAACAATGCATAAAAATAATATCCTCAAATAATTAAAAATACTAACTTACCTAATCTTCTACAGAATCTGAGTGCTTGGCGGATCACAAAATGTCCATTTTCACCAGGTTTCTTTCACCGCCATTTAAACTATCTGTAATATCCTTCCTTTCACACAATCTCATTTCATTCCCACATATCGGACATTCATACTTATCTGCAATTAAGCAATTCTTTTCAATTACACATAAACGCAATAAAAATTTCGGATTTACTTTATATACGGCCATGGAATCCAAAGATTAAACAACACTGTTTCACAGAACATAGAATGAAACTACTGCTATAAAGTACAGCAGATATTTTTACAAATATACCCCCTTTTCTGATTAAAGAACAGTGATTCGTCCATTAATGTCACATGGCATATCTCATGATCTCTCATTTCCCTCACACAAAATAATGCGTAATCGGAACTGAGTACTTCTCACATTTCCAAAGTCCTAGGTAGTAACTTTATCGCTTCCAAAATGTCGCCAAACTACCTGTTACCATATTCCAAAGATTAGCCTAGATAATTTAGAGGTAAAAGTTTTTGGATATTTTATTTATTTTATACATGGAAATGTTCATCCTTGGAAAGGGTATATACTTTTTCACTATCAAGTAATTTCATACATGTGCTTTTTACCGAGTTTGAAGATTCAGAAAATTTTCCTGCATTTTCGTGCAAATTTTTGTAATTTATGAGAAAATAGCAGTGTAGATGGATAAAGTTAAGAGTGTGTGCAATGCCATGTTTTTTTAGGTAAAAATAAGTCGACATGTAAATGATTTATGTGTATGTGCTATTCTGAAAAATGCGCAAGGAGCGATTGTGCACTTTTTCCCAATTTTGCAGTTAATATTTGTCATGATTAAGCAGTTTTGTTACATAAAATTTCTAGCATAAGTGTAATTCGGCTAGTAGATTGTTGGAAAAAGTGTTGAGTAAATAAAAAGAAAAGAAACATGTCTTTACTTCATGAAGACAAAATGGCGGCGAAAAAAAAATTAAAAAAAATAGAGGGTTGCTGTAGCAGAGTTGGTCGCCAAATTTTCGCCAAGCTGCCATAATCCAAAGATCAACCTAAATTTATTATATAATTTTGTCAATAATTTATTTAAAATGGGAACATAATTCAACAGATTATGTTTAATATATATATATATATATATATATATTAATTAGCATATTTAATACAATTATATGAGCAATTTATTTAAAATAACATATATAAGCATGCTGGAAAATTCCACTTACTACTAAACATATCATAAAATTCTGTTTATTCTTTTATAAAATACAAATTTGTTAGCAATTTATAATATATGTAATGAAAACAAGTAAAAGACAGCAATCTTGATTGTGTAGCAGGCAGATCCATAGTGAAAATGATTAATTCTAGGTAAAATCCTAGTATATGAAGCCTATTTTTGAAAATTTTGAATGTGAACACCAAAATGATTCTATTACTACTCATCATAAATACCATGTTTAACTGCTCATCATAATGTTGCCAAATCCTGTGTGTACTGTATACTAGGATTAAATTGCATATTATGCTATTATTTTGAATCCATAATGACTAAAAGACTTGGCAGCCGACTAATACTAAATCTT